AAAAGCTGCCCCTCCCTCTCGGATACAGAGGCGGCGAAGGGGGGGAAGGGCGTAGTCAGCAGGATTAACACGTGAGCCCTTGTTTAGCCGGGTAGTCGCCTGCACGTTGACATCTGCTCCCTGTGCGCCACGGACACTTCCTACTCCTAGTCCGAAGTGGGGGAATGCCTCTGTCAATTTTGACTTCCTTGTTTACCCCACCACGAGGGCTGGTCTTTTATTTTCCTCTACATTGGCTGCCAGTCTTCACTGTGGGAGGCATTTTACTGAACTAGATGTGTTCCGTCTCTAGTATGGAATTCCTTGTCTTCCTCTGGTGAGTGAACGGCAAGTATATAAAGTAAGAGTTTGGTGGCTTTATTTTTGAAGTCAGTTGTGTGACATCTCGACCTTGACAGTAGAGATGTAATAGTGTAGTTGAGTAACTCAAATCACAGCCTCTGGGGGCCGGCCTAGTCACGGTTGGGCCCACATTGGCTGTGATTTTTTTCCCCTGGAGGTTCAAGAGAGGGTACATGCACATGCTAAATTTACTACTGATTACATGAAGAACTAAACAGTATCCCCCACATTCATGGAATACAATGACTTCAGATTATAAAGACAGTTTAAACTGGCTGAGTTTGGGCAATTGTCATGGGCAAGCAAACCAGATACTTTGTTAGCCCATGAAATGTGTTGTATTTCAAAATGAAAGTGGTACTTGCCAGCAATGTTCTCTCTAAGGTGGGCACTTGTATGGCTGCTCAGGAGAGATTCCAATGCCACTCAGCTGATTAGCAGGGCGCCCACAGGTAGGTTTTGTTTCCACTGCTGGTGCAGATTCATACATGACTCAGTGCACATAAACATTTATTCTACACATCGATGGAAACAATCTGCACATGGATGGAAAAGATTAGAAGAAACACTGCTTGCCAGTATTTTTTGGTTAAATCTAAGGTGGATGAACTGGGCACATCACAGTTTCTTCAGTAGCTCATCTTTGTGGGGCATTGGATAGTTTTTTGGGTGAGTTACAGCAGTTAGCTTATGGTCGCCCATGCAAAAGCAAATTTCCCCATCCATATTGAGAGCTAGGTCCACTGGAGAGGCGTTGTGTCTCTGCTGGGCTGTGAACTGAAGAACTTTGATTTTTCAGGATTAAAAGGGCTTTAGAGAATTAATATGATACACTTAAGGCTTATGGTTAGGATCTAGGAACACTCTGAGGGAATTAACCGTTCCTATGCGCACTCAGACCATGAATGGCCCATCCCATTATGCTTCCATCTTATTGGCCTGGAGTTCCTTCAAGACCATGACTTGGTCATCTACCTTGCAGGAACACTTCTCTTCCCAAAGAAGTTTCATGCTCCCTGCCAGGAAATTAGATCCTGAATCTGTAAGGCTATCCTGTGGCACAAGCTTTTAGCCTTGATGTCTACAACTATTGTTTCAGGCCATTGGGTGGCAAAATCTATGAAAGTCAGTATATACTGTTTTCCCCAAGGTATCTTTTTAGGAAAAGGACCCAAAATATCCACATCTGCATGCTGGAATGGAACTTCTATTATGGGGAGTGCTTGGAGGGGGCTTTGACATGGTCTTGGGCCTTTCCCACCCACTAGCACACCTTACAAGACTGGATGTAGGTAGAAATGTCCTTGTCCATTACCTCTCAATGGAATGACTTTCCCAAACAATTGTGGTACTATTCACCCTAGCATGGCCTCTAGGAAGATTGTGGGCTAAGCACAAGAGCTTTTTCCTGTGCTTCCTGGCAGCAGCTGTTAATAAAATATTTTTATTTTTCAGACTCCGTCTGCTGTACATAAGATAAAACAGCTTCTTAAAGATAAACCTGAGCATGTAAGTAAAAATGGAAAGAGTTCTTGTATGCTATCCTAATATTTTTAGTGTACCTTATGAAGAATGCTTATTATTATTATTATTATTATTAATATACTAGCAGATGCTCTGTGAAATATATGATCAGTGGAAAACTGTGCAGCATGAAACAATCAGTCTGGATACTTTATTGATATGAAATATTCCTTTATAATAATAAATGCATTAATCCGACAAGATTTATTTTCACGTATAAAAATCAGAGGAGGTGGGGAAATATTTAATGACAATAAATCAACTGTCATAATCTTTGAGAGACATAAAACTCTAGCATGCATTCCTTACTTAAAAATTTTGTTGACTCCTTTGTTGACACTTTGATGAAACTAGTCTAATCTGTTGATGCCAGTTAGGTAATGATTTACTAGTATGGCAAAAGATCTTCAACTACAGGCAGTCCCCGGGTTAGGTACAAGATAGGGACTGTAGGTTTGTTCTTAAGTTGAATCTGTATGTAAGTCGGACCTGGCATCCAGATTCAGCCGCTGCTGAAACTGATCAGTTTCAACAGCGGCTGAATCTGGACACCAGTTCTGACTTACATACAGATTTAACTTAAGAACCTCAGGCGTCCCCAAGTCAGCTGCTGCTGAAACTGATCAGCAGCTGATTCCAGGAAGCCCGGGGCAGAGCAACTCTGCTTTGGACTTCCTGTAGTCAGCCGCTGGTCAGTTTCAGCAGCGGCTAACTTGGGGATGCCTGGGGCAGAGCAGCTCAGGTGCTGCTGGGTTGGTCCAGTAGCGCGGCCGCTCCTCGGCGCTACTGGACCAACCGGCAGCGCCCCACCTGCTCTACCACAGGCCCCGGGCTTTGCTCCACGTCTCCCTGGTCTGCTGGGAGGGGCACTAGCTGCTTCCCCCTCCCAGCAGACCAGGGAGATGCTGAGCAAAGCCGTGGAGGACCCGGGGCCGGACCCGCGGCCGCTTCCAGATCAGCTGGAAGCGCCACGGGTCCGGCCCCGGGTCCTCCGCCGCTTTGCTCCCCGTCTCCCTGGTCTGCTGGCTCCCCCAGCAGACCAGGGAGACGGGGAGCAAAGCGGCGGAGGACCCGGGACCGGACCCGTGGCGCTTCCAGCTGATCTGGAAGCGGCCGCGGGTCCGGCCCCGGGTCCTCCACGGCTTTGCTCAGCGTCTCCCTGGTCTGCTGGGAGGGGCACTAGCTGCTTCCCCCTCCCAGCAGACCAGGGAGATGCTGAGCAAAGCCGTGGAGGACCCGGGGCCGGACCCGCGGCCGCTTCCAGATCAGCTGGAAGCGCCACGGGTCCGGCCCCGGGTCCTCCGCCGCTTTGCTCCCCCAGCAGACCAGGGAGACGGGGAGCAGCTTTTCTCGCCCCGGAGGAGGCGGGCAGCGGGACCAGGCGTCTCGCTGCTCCAGTCCTCCGGGGCGAGAAAATCCCCGTTCGTAACTGCGGATCCGACATAAGTCGGATCCGTGTAACTCGGGGACTGCCTGTATTGATATGAAGATGTTCTTCAAATAGTTTTATTAAACTTTTGAATTTCTTAAAGCAGATTATTTTATGAAGTATTATGTTCTCATAATGTTGCTCCTTCTGACATGAAGGTTGGCTGTATTTGGGGCTTTGCCAGATTATTTCTGTTAGCAGAATATCTTGATGCTAATAGTCAGATATTCCTTTCATGTGATCCTGTTTATTTTCAGAGTAACAGTACTTTGTGTATATTCCTGTATACAATAAAAACAAACAACAGGTGTTTTTTTCAGAGATCAAAATCTGAGTCTCCAGCAATAACAGTGCCCGAAAGAAAGTCTTTCTCTTATCTTACCAAGGCCACTCATGACTATCTTTCACTTTCTGCTGCCTTTCTGTTTATCACCCACACACTGCCACAAGTAACTAGTCAATCCCCCTGTCCTTGTGTTTGTAACATGTCACAAGGAACCCTTTCAGTTCACATAGTTTAGCTTCTGATTAACTTTGCCATGTGGACATTGCCTCATGATGTGTCACTCTTGTTTTCAGCTGTCACTACAAACAAGGGTATTTAATTATTGCCTATCCATCAGTTTTTACAAGGTCTGTGATTTTCATAAATTAAAGACCCTCTTAGTGGCAGCCATTAATACTGTCCAACATAATAATTACACAGATTATTTTCCTTGCTCCCTTACTTATACTTGTGTAGTAAAGATTTGATATGTAGGGTACCATATGGCTGTTCAGAAGACGGTGTCACCGTACAAAGTGTTTTCTGGTCCACGTGTTAACTATGCCTCAACTGTTGTTTATGTGGATGTTCTTTTGGTCTGACCTATGTGTTAGAATATATTGACTGACTGAATCGGGGTCAATATGGCTTGCTGGGTCAAAGCTGAGCAGACCTTAAAAATGGTAAGGACTGGATTGTAAGGGCTGGTGGTAATATAGCTAATGAAAATTGCAGTCCCTGTAATTTATTATAATCTGTGAAATAGAGATTCTCTCCACTGAGGAGCATAACAACACTGTAAAATGTAACTGTGTTTAACTGAACCTCAGACTTGCCAGCATTATGTAAATTGTTTAAATTGTTCCTACAATGAGAAGTAATCTTCTGCTTGTAACTCACAGTGACAGGCATATGCAAGATCATATACTGTGATTTTTACTGGGGAGGATGAGAGAATTTGGAACATAGAAGTCATAACATTTGGTACTCTGATCCTTTCAGATCTTGAAAGATATTCAGGATCAGGTCAGTGATTAAATGCACCTTTAGGCAGTTCTCAGACTGCTATTGGTGATTAGATAAACAGCAGTTGTCTTTTGAGTCAATACTGACCAATGTCCTAACATGTTGCTAGTTGGAATTGGACTTTCAAAAGTGTTATCTCTTGGATAAATTATTTGAATGAATTGCACTTCCTGCAAGAGTAGATAATAAGGTTGTTAAGGACTAGTCGACAAGCATTTCTTTAGGCAGTTCTCAGACTGCTATTGGTGATTAGATAAACAGCAGTTGTCTTTTGAGTCAATACTGACCAATGTCCTAACATGTTGCTAGTTGGAATTGGACTTTCAAAAGTGTTATCTCTTGGATAAATTATTTGAATGAATTGCACTTCCTGCAAGAGTAGATAATAAGGTTGTTAAGGACTAGTCGACAAGCATTTCCGCAGCACCGCACAGCTGAGCTGAGCTGAGCTGGGGATCAGCTGTGCGGCACTGCTACTTTGAAACCCCAAGGCTGCATTTCAAGGGGGCAGCCGCCGCACAGCTGATCTGCTGCTCAGTTGTGCGGTGCTGCTCCTTTAAAATGCCAAAGAGCCATGGAGCTTGAGGTCAGCTGGGGACTCCCCAGCTAACCCCAGGTTCCAAGCAGCATTTCCCCAGAACCCAGGGTTATCTGGGGACTCCCCAGCCAGGGATCAGCTGTGCAGTGGATACCCCTTTGGAATGCTGCCTCGGCTTTTCAGCGGAGTAAACAGAGAAGTCGACTAGTCGTTTTCTGTCCCCTCCCCATCAGGAAGAGGCAGCAAGGGTGGGGGTGAGGAGGGAGGTGCTTCAAAGCAGTAGTGCTTCGTAGAGCCCAGGGCCAGCTTGGGAGTCCCCATGTACAAGTACCAGGTCTTCTTGGATGATCTAGTTATATAACAACTTACTGTAAAGGTTAAAAAAACCCCACAATGTAATTATTAAAAATCAAACATTAGCTATAGTGCTTCTCACCAAAGCAGCAAGTATACTTCCCAAAATTTAATATGCTCTTTTGGATAGATTAATTCTGTTATGTTAACTTTTAATTGAGGTTAGTAGAGTTAACCTCTCTAGCACCCCCATGTAATATTATTTGGATTCAATCTTCTTTGTTGCATGCTCATATGTGCTGTCATTATTGGCAGCTGTTTAACATGCATCACATCACTGTAGAACTGGCTTTTTTTCCTGTAGAGAGTGAGAGTTTTTCAGTTTGTAAAGTGCTGTAAACTAACAGTACTATATAAACATAAACTGTCACGTTTGAAGTTATAAAACCATTTGACTTTGAGGCAAGATTTTCTCATCTAACTGCTTATAAGACCAAACCCCTACAATACAGCTAGCAGTTATTCTAATGTAAGTCAAAACTATTTTTACACACTCTAGGCCTTTGTGCACAATAGGAACATTTAAATGTGTAACTTGCCATTATTTCAGACATGCATTTGATAACAAAAGTAAAATGGAAGCTGTAGTATAGATGGGACACGGGCTAACCCTGACAATATGATGATAGAAATGCATCTGTGCTGTATGTCTTTTCACCCCTATTATAGGTAAAAATTGTATCCGTGTATTGAATAGGAGTTAGCCTTCTGTTTGAGTTTATATTATGCATTTTATATTGTAAATGTTTTGACTCTCTTCTAGTCATACCAAAACCCTTCCCCCACCTGCAATAAAACCTCCTATAGAAAACATTCAGGTTCTTTATTCCTAAAATAAATTCATCCTATAAATGTAAATAAAATTTAATAAAACTCTTTATATTTCAGGTAGGTGTGAAAGTTGGAGTCCGTACAAGGGGATGTAATGGACTTTCATACACGTTAGAATACGCAAAAACAAAAGGTGACTCTGATGAAGAAGTAGCTCAAGATGGTAAGTTTTTATTTAACTATTCAGAACAATCCAAAGGAGGGGGACAGGTGTAGTATAATTTGATTATAAAATGTCCTAACTGTAATGTAGAAGAGAGAGAAGCTAGCATGTACTAGCTGCATGAACGTAATGAGGGAAATCCGTGGATACCTAATAGGACTTGTGGTTGCTATCACTTTGCAGTTCATTGTAATAGAACCTACTTGTTAAAACTTCCTGGACTAAATTAAATACTGCTGGCACAGAGGGTACAAACTGCATCCTTTTTCCTCCCCACCATATATCGGGCTGTACTATGGGTTGAAATTCTCGAGGGCTGGGAAGCAATGTTTACCCCTGCTGTTGAGATGGCAGCTTTGAGTTAAGGCTTGGGTTTCACAGGATGCTCCTTGCGCAGGCTGTTTGGTGATGCACATCCCCAGCAGGCTCTGGTCACAAGAGTTCCTTGCCAGCACAGCCTATTTCTTTTGACTAACTTTGGAGGCTTGAGGCCCCTGGCATTGCTGCATCCCAGGGTAATATTGATATAAAATGGGACTGAATATGCTAAGAGTAAACAAATGACCTTCCAAAATCCACTGCTTTTATATAAACTAATAGATACCTTTATTGGGTTTATCATTACTAGGGGCCAGTGCCTCCTGCTGTCTATGCTCGCCCAGTCCCCCTCCTACCTTCTCTCCCCCCGCTCCTCTGTCAGGGCTGCACCAACCCCGGCCTCTTGGCCCTACCAGCTGCCAGGGAGGGCCAGGGGCCACACCAGACACAGCCACTGGGGAGAGGAAGACTGGGAACTGCACCATCCCTGGCCTCGCCGCCTCCTCCCTGGCCTCTGCATCTTCCTCCCTGGCCTCCCCTTCACCTGTTCTCCCCTCCCCCCACACACACCTTCCCAACCTCTCTTCCCCACATTCCTTCTCCCCCAGGCCACAGCCAGTCCTGCTTGCTCCCCAGCCTCTGGCCACCGGAGGAGCTCCAGCCTGGAACCCTGCCCCCCACTGGGCAAGATTAGTGTGCCAGTGGGGAGAGGAATAACCCTGAGGCTCTGCACCTGAGGCCTCCCTCCATGCTCCTCGCTGTGCTAATCTTGCTGGGGTGTGTGCATGTGTGTGTGTTCCAGACTGGAGTTCCAAACGCGGCAGCTGCAGTGCGCCTGGCCCAAGCCACCAAAGGCAACGGTTCCTTGCTGGGTCCTGGAGCGTTGAGGCCCCCAGTGCAGCGAAGAGTCACTGCTGCTGTCCCCTGGCCCTACTTCAGGGGAGCTGAGGGCCAGCAGGGAGACCAAGGTGTGGAAAAGGAGAATCCTGAGCCTCTTCCCCTTCTGGGGACTCTGAGACGGGGGGGAGGGTGATGTAGAGTGAGGTGATATCACTGTGTCGCTCTTCAGGAAAACTTCCTTTAATACATAGAGAGATTGGTACTGTGTTTATTTCTTCAAATACAAAGCCAAATTGACTTATTAAAATGAGCAATCAAATCAAAATGGCCGTCTTAATCTCCAGCATCCTGCAATCTGAAAAACTTTTGTGTGTTATTGATAAATGTAGTGTTTCCAGAAGCACTAAGAAGCACTAATTCCTAGCCCCCATTGTTATAAAGTAAATTGGATGGACCTGACACCCCCCCACTAGAACACGACTAAACATTGCAGCAAATGGTTTTCTCAACTTGTAGCAGAAGCAAGAAAAGGATGAAGGTGATAACTTGAAAGAAGCAAGAAAATACAATAATTACATTGACAGAATTCTGTTTTTAGCTTCATTTTATAACCCAGTTGGCTACCAGATTGCACTGTAACACGAGTTAAAAATGAGCAAGACCTTTGTCAGATTACATAACAATTGTTTTGGTTTTGTCTCCCTGAAGGAGTCCGAGTCTTTATTGAAAAGAAAGCACAACTGACACTTCTAGGAAGTGAAATGGACTATGTAGAAGACAAACTGTCTAGTGAATTCGTCTTCAATAACCCAAACATCAAAGGAACATGTGGCTGTGGAGAAAGCTTTAACATTTGAAATCTCAGGAGTAGCACCTTGGCTTTAAACACCATAAAACACTTCATTGCTGTAGCTTTCTAAAGACATCACATTTCTTTCAGGTTTTTGGGCTTTGTAAAGTGTTCCTGCCTTTCAAGGAAAATAAAGTGAATGCCTTTTGAAAATGTAACCTGCGTGTTAAATTTCAGTATTGATGTGTTTATGCACTAATTTGAATGAACTGAGCTCTAGACAGTAAAAGCAGCAATGTGCTGTATTTTCATTGTAAAGGGAAATCTCAATATTTCTTTTCTATTTCCCTCTTCTTCACCTCTTCCAAGCCCCCCAAAAATGTAATAACACTTAATAGGCATTGTGCTTTATTTAGAAAAAAACTCTAGAACATATGTATGTATAGGCTTCAGAATGTACTTGTACTAATTTAAAAATAAAATATAAGATAGGTATCAGACAGACGCTTTCCATGTCTTCACTTTTTGCTACTTGGCTTTATTGGAAATCCTGCCTTCTCGTGCTAAATTTTTCATGTCATATCCCCAACACTGACTAATTCTTGGAATGAGCTAATTCAAATCTGAAAAATTATCACCACCCTTTAATACTAAGCTATTTTATTTCCAATATTAATATTTTCCTTGTAGCAAGCATGATCTCCTTGCTGTAATTAATACGACAAGTAGTATGGTGTTCAAGAATAATGTAACCTCTTTCAAGAATTTGAATGTTAAGACAGAATATACACAGGGCTTCTTTTCACACATCCCGTGTGTTTCTTTGCTCCCTTAAGCTCTTTCCAACCAGGTCTTCCTTTTTTGCGGTACACTTACATTTTTTTGCTCTCTTGTCATCCAACAAGGACATTGTTTTATGATGCAGAAGGATTTTGTTTTGTGTAGTCATAACAGACTTTCTGTCAAAGCTCAAACCTTATTGGTATCTTGAGTAGGTGTTAGGTTTTCCCTTGTAAGGTTACATTATATGCTGACCAACAGTTGTATGGGAATGAAGGTAACTTTGTAAAAGGAACATTTCAGTGTAGTTTAAAAAGCACTTGAGAATCTTTATGGCTTGCATTCTTCTTCTTTTGAACATTATGTTCAACGCTATATTTCTTCGTCAAATTTGGATGTCCAAACTCTCCAGCCAGTGAATAGCTGTAAAATAGGGGCATAAGGATCTTGAGCAATAGGGGTTTTTGCGCAAAACGGATATGTCGACACTGCTTGTTTTTTGCCAAAAAGCATCAGAAGAGATAATGCAAATGAAGTGCTCATTAGCATATTCTTGTGCTTCATTTGCATAGCCTCTTCCGCAAAAAAACAACCCCCCTAGTGTAGACACAGACTTAGAGATTAACCATCCAGGGATGAATTCATTCTGTTTATTGGTGCTCAAGAGGTAGAACTGTGGAATGTTACCTGCTGAGGGAATCGAAATGCAGCTAGTTCTGAGGGAGAAGGAAATACAGCTATGGCATCCTCCTAGCAGCAGTCAGCAACACCCGCAGTAACAGAAGGTCTAAGCTTCCATGTGTATTGCTTAATTAATATTCATCCTTCAGTTTTAATTTTGTAATGTATGCAATTTTCATGTACAATATTGGAATTTTCCTTTATGAACAGTCCTACATAAAGAGTTGCTTTGTTATATATGGTAGTTATAGAATTGTAACCGTGCTGTGAGGAAATCCTAACAACAAACTCAGTACATTTGAATGTCTAATGCCATAGTTCTTCATTGCTACCAAAAATAAATACAAAATCAAGTCTGTGGTTTTGTAGCGCTAAGGTTTAAAATAGTCCCCATGATGGACAGATTCTCACGTGTAATATTTTTCCTTGCTGGAAGATTAAGAAAGTAACAGGATGTTGGTAAAAGTGCTATTCCTGTATTCACTCTAGTTTTACAGAGTTCTTAAGAGCTTTTGTATATTCATGGGTTTGTGTATATCATCTGTGAGTAAAAGTTCATACTTGCATATTCTGTGAAATAGTCTCTGAAGAGAGTTGTCATGTTTACTAAAGTACCCAACGCACAATAACAGTACATTTATGTAAATGCAAGTAACATATGTATGAATACAGTTTTATTAATCAGTCCATTTATGATGTGTGCAATACAGTATGGAGTTCTCAGTTGTAATAAATAACTGTTGGTAAACATTAAATACTCTTGTTTTTCAAACCTATAATAAAATAGCACTTCAAAGTCACAGAAGTAGTTCAAAAGCTTCAGAGGGGTGGCCGAGTTGTTGTGTGTGGAGTTTTTTTGTTTGTTCCTGAAAGGCATTAACAAGAGCTCCTGAAAATAGGTTGTTGTCACTGCTGGTATAAACAATTTTTTCCATCCTACACAATCACATTTCATTATTAGTGTATAAAGTCACTTGCTGCACAATGAATGAATGATTACAGCATTTACTTGTTGGTGATTCTCTGATCTTACATATGGTTCCCTGACTACATCATTTTTTAAACTGAAAAAGTGAGTGTGGTATTTCTTAAGTTGGGCTCTTTGTAAACTGTAAAAACCTCAGACTCAGTATTTCATGCATTTTAGGATTACATAGAACTTTCATACTTTGGGTGTTCCTGAATTAGGAACACCCATGCTACAGCCCTTGGCAGTCTGAGGGGGAAGCTATTTTATACTCTGCCACCACCCCCTTCTTAGGGATGTAAAATTCCATGTAATTGGTTAACTGGTTAAATGTGATGTTTAACTGCTTAACCAATTAAAGGGGGGTGGTGGAGGAGGCTAATCCAGCTGGTCTGGAGTGCCCCAGTCCATAGCAAGTCACATGGGGCTGGGGAGGTGTGCTAGCCCCCAATATCTTACAAGTTAACCGTTCACATCTCTAGCTCTCATAGCAGCATGATCAGTACCTGGGGGCAGCTTGGAATGTGATGCACCAGGTAAGTGCCCTGCTCCCATCCCCTTCACTTCCTCCCTGGCCTAGCAAAATCTTTAGTCCCACAAATCCTGTTTCTCAAGTTGCCAAATTAAAGAGGTTCAAATGTATTAATTTATCTTGGTCAGCCAAGAAAATAGAATGTAAGTAGTGAAGTCACTTGGCAAGATCTCCTAAACATTCAGAACTTGATAAGTTCCTGTTCAAGTAGCAAACTTAATGTTAAGTGCCAGATATTTCAGTATAAGAACAAATAGTGATCACTTTGACAAAATGAAATATGAACTACTTTCAACATATGCAATCGCAATAGAATTTAAAAGGACACTGGTCTAATCTGACTTCAGATTGAAGTGTTTAATTAAAATATTTTGACTTTTTTGTGGTTGCATCAGCTTTTGAAAGGGAAATTGCCTAGAAACAAAAGATTAATGTTCTTTCATCACAAGATCAGAGAAATACAAAAAGTAAACAAAATACAATAACGTATTACATTTTTAATTCCTTTCACATTTTATTTTAAGGACTGCCTAGGTTTATTTTTTTTTCATTACATGTCTTTTTAAACTTGCTCCCTCTAAACTATTACACACTGGGTCTACCCACTTGTATAGAGGTTTTTTAAATTTCAGTAGGCATTTAGTGTTCCAAATGAAGGAACCAATTTATCCCCTGGATCAACTTATCACTATCTACTGCACTATATCTTGGGAAGCTTCTGAATGTGACTTTTGCTCTTTGTTATGACATTTTATGCTACTGCCATGCTATTTCTAAATTTTTGCATGGAAAAAAAAGCTGAAAAAGTTTTTCTTTTGCTTGGCTGCCTCACTGACTCATTTGTAAGTTCCTGAAAAAAGCCTGAACCTTTAAAGAGGAGTCATATGGGGGGTGGTCATGTGGCTAGCACTTCTCCCACTGTCCCTCATCAGTAGTCACTCCTGCCCAGGAACTCACTGGAATTTACACTCCCTTTGATCAGAAACATTTCTCAGTCAAGGCAGTAGAAGTGCATTACTGCCTGTCACTTCCTGCTTAAGTGGTCAGAGATCACACCAGCATAGAAGTATATTGAAAGTGAATCCTAAGGAAATTAAGAGTTTAAATAATACTTTACATCCCACTACAATGAATCCAGAGAATGTTGTTTGGAAGCTGATAACTTATGCTTCCATCCCTCATCACTGTCAAGTTTTAGCAAACTAGTACAAGTCAGCACATAAGAACAGCCATATCTATCAATAACTGCTAATGGTAACAATTCACTACCTCTCTCTACTACAGGCAGCATATGTTACTGTTTGCAGTTTCTTACACTATAGAGCAGGCCCGGGCAAAATACCTTCCATGGGCCAGATTCGGCCTGCCAAGTGGGGGTGGGGCGGGCAGGAAGTCAAGTAAGTAAAGTCTCCCAGCCAGAGCCTCTGGCACCCCCCCCCTTTAACCCCCCCCCCACACACACACACATAACTCAAGTCCTTTGTCCCTATATCTCCTCCAAGATCCATGCCCCCCAATCACCTGTCCCACATCACAACCCAAATCCCTGCATCCCCTCCTGCACCACCCAGTCTCCTGCCCCAAGTCACAAACCCTTGCACCCTAGTCCACTAACCCAGGTCACAACTGACTCCTTCACCCAAGCTCCTTCTCCAGCCCCACACCCTCTCCTGCACTCCAGGCCTTTACTGCAAGCTCCCTTCTGCACCCAGCCTCCATCCCAGACCCTGCACCTCCTCCATTAATATGGAAGTGTGTGGCCCTTGGCCAGTGTAGGGTTGACAGGTGTTTGGTTTTCTCCTGGACATTCTGGTATTTGTGGCCCTGTCTGGAAAAAAGAACAGGTGTCCGTTTTTCTCAGCTGGAAGGTTGGTGAGGACATTATTTCCCTGCTGCATCTGGCGGGGGCAGAAGGAGCAGGGAGATTTAAAGGCATAGTTAACTTTTTTTTTCCTCAACCAATTTTTATCCTGCCATGTTCAGGATTTTTTGTAAAAGTATCTGGCAACCCTAGACCAATGTTCCCTCTAAGTCAGAGGCTCAGGGTTTTGTGCATGGATTTGACTGACTGGGAAGGGCTGATTAATCACCTGTGAAGCTGTGCTGCCCTGAAGCTTAGAGGGAACACTGCCCTTGGCCACTTTCCAAATTTTTGGAGTGACCCCACCCCCCCGGGTGCTTCCCCCCATCAAAAATGATTGCCCACCCTGCAATAGACTGTGTGAAACTGCTACCTATAGGAATGTGATACCTGTAGTGGCAACAGATCCTACTTTGCTAAAAACCATATAGTGTAAGAATCTGCTCACTCTAGAAATTAGCCACATCAACTAGCAGTTTTTAACAAAGTAGCACCTGTCACTGCTAAAGGTAGCAAATTCCTACAGAGAGCAGTTTCTACTCACCCAGTAGTGTAAGAAACTACTCTCTCCTATAGCAGTTTTTAGCAAATTAGGACAAGTCAGTAAATACGAACAATTTTATGATCTTGGTAGAGGGGACTTCAACTACTCAGATGTCTGTTGGGAAAATAACACAGC